GACGCAGCTATATACATTATTTACTATATCAAAACTAGGTTATCGTAATTTATTCTACGGTAAATTATACTTCGAGTCAATAAGAGTGACATTTTGTGCATGACGCTATTTTATTTGACACCACAATTTACGCAGCACTTAGTTTCAGCATTAAACAAATAGGCATCTATTTATACTCAACATAAAACTATAAGTGGATCGCGTGTCTATATTGAATAAAGTAACATTTAAAGATGGTCAAACAATAATCTTAGAAAAATTGTCTATAGACTAGCTTAATAAATTATTACTATAACTCAAAATATTCCTGATATAGGTAGGTATATTAAGGTAATTTTAATAATAATAAGGTATATTTTTATTATATTCGATGTCTATTAGTAGATACGAGTATGTATGATATATACTAGTTTCATATGAACTTACACGAAACTTTAATCGAGAAACCAAAATACATTTAACGGTTGATCAACACACTGTATTATAATCAACTCGGCTCGCTATCAAACAATTCCGTTCTTTAATTAGTGTAACGTGTCGAACAAACACTCGACCCTACCTTACATACATAAATACAGCTATTTCACACGTACAAACTCATCGAGAGTTAATCCAACGTAATTGATTCTCGCTAGGAGACCAATAAATGGTTATTGACGGCGCCAATAAAGTCCAACAATTAATAGATACCTTCACGATATAATATCTATAAATTCTTAAGTTTAATACACTTATCATTTTATATTTCGGTGGAAATCAATACAACTTCATTGAAATTTTGCTGACATGCAATTGAATGGCGCTTCTTCTATGTAAGTATAAATATGTACTACACTTCAACTTGTATCGTGTTTAATATGCTATGAAATCGAATGGAGAAAACTATCATTGAGATACTACTTACCTCTCTTTTGTGAAAGTTTTAATAGTGAAACATTTTCTAAGTAGAAAACGTAATTAAAGAATTTAGAAACCTAAATGTACTTTATGATCAGCCAATATCAGATTAAAGTAGAGCCTCACTTGTAATATAAATAAATATATGTGTCTGTAATCTATCTATTATCTATATATTTACTGATAAAAAATTATGAAGATTTCAAAGTAATTTAGGATAAAATATAATTTTAACGGGATGTAAATACCCTTTGTGTTGTAGATAACATAGTTAAACAACAGAGTTATTCTAAGATAAACAAATGCGCTTTAATATAGCTAAACATATATCTGGTTGCTAAACACTATTTTACATTTATAAACTGCATAAAATGAAGTAAAAAGAACTTTAGAGTTATGAAGATATAATTGTAGTACAAGCATATCTTCAAGTACAAATCGTCTTTGCAATGGATGGCGATGTATGTAAACAAAGGTTTCGTTTGGGCGAACTGCCAGACACACCAATTCTTCAGACGAAATTTAATTTGACTTAAGTACCTACTGCTTTCTAACCGTGCCTGAAAATAGTATTATTCGAATTTTTCCTCACTTATTATAATTAATTTATTTTTATTATTACTAAATTCAGTAAAATAAATTAGAGTGTATTGAGAGTTCTTCCAATTTCTACATATTTACAACATGACTTTAAGAATATAGAGAAATTACATATCATCGAAAGAAATATTGTGAGTATACTGTACATAAAGGTCATGGGTTCAGAAACCCATTAACATATTGCGGAGAGCTGATATAACTGACGAAAATATCCTGTTACCTAGATACCATAACGACTGAGTAGATCTTAGAAGTTAAATGGTCTATAGATATAGATTAACAATTGATATGACAGAAATAACAATCAAGTTTAGGACTGAAATTCTATATCTACATCTAATGCTCTTTATCAAAATTTAAAGGAGTTTTTAGTCTCTTGAATTTAGAAATTTAAACAGTTAATAAGTTTAGCTATTTTAAGAACCTTGATGTCTAGTATTTTACATGCATTGGCAAATACTTAGATACCTACAATACGACAATAAACTCTATGGGCTCCGTAACGTTGAAAATAGAGGTCACAAGCTATCGTAAATTATACTTTATAGCACCAAAGGGACGGTCTATTTTCGTTCGGAGACCGCTGTGAACATGGACTCATATGGACGCCATGCCACAAATGGCGACTCACGATTTGAAAACAGATTTATGATCGGCCACGATAACGGGCTTGCGATAAAAATTTTGCCATTCCATGGAAGTGTGTAGGTACCTATACGTCGTACCAACATACCACAATGCACAACGATTTCAAGTCGATGTTACGAAATAGTACCTAATGCAGCTGCTACGCCATTATTTCGATTTATCACACCGAGATTTGATTTCCGATTTTCATTGAGTTACGCAGATATGTTGCAATACTTGCAATACAACATGTCAAAAATAAATTATTTCACCTAACACTATAAAATCATGTGAATTCAATATGACCCCGAAATGAAATTAAGTTATTTGTCGGTATCATCACCGTTTTGAAATTCCAAACAAACTCTACAGAAATCAAATCATAGTATAGTAGAGTAATTTAAATTATAACTTATTAATATTTTAATTTAATTTAAAGAACACTTAGTACCTATAGTATCTATATATAATATAGGTAAGATAGAATATTATTCACAAATAAAAAAAATATAACTGATACATAGAGAATGGCTGTTACATTCAAACGTGTTACACGATTATTGTAAGGTATTCTAACTCACGAATTTCAGTCGTGGGGGATTAGATAATAAAACATTAATTTTATTTGTACCTTAACTCACGATTTATTTCTATATGGCCTATTTTATCGCCTAAGTTATTGATAAATATGTTACCTATTGCTAGCTTTTTATTAATTTATATATTGTAATTTACACGCATAAGTATTTTTATATATAAACTGGGCTGTGTTTAGAGAAAAAAATTGCTGTTTATATAAAAATTAAACCAGATATAATATGTAGGTACGAAACAAATATATTCATTATATTGTTCTATAATAGCTACAAATATACCCAGTATCTATGTAGAATAAAGAAAATGTATTTTCAAAGTTTTCAAATCAATGAATTCTGAATGAAAAGAACTCTATTTTGTTACTACACCTAGGTACTGATGGCTGATTTCAGCCATCAGTACTGAGTACAGTACCTCTATTGCATCGTGTGCATGCATCTTAGATATATTGGTAGGTATACAATAGTAGAAATCTACCTATTAAGTAGATAAATAACATACAGTAACATGAACGTGTCTATCTATAAATAAATGCAGATGAAAGAGCAGCCGGCCTCAGATTGTGGTGTCGAGGTCGCCGGACTCGCTCTGTGCTAGGTATATAATGGTTTTCATATACAATACCCTATGTATATATGTTAGTATATAGGTACCTACTTACAATTTAAATATATCCCTATATATAATATTATGTGCATGACTGAATATCAGGTTACCGTGGCCTTTAAAGGATTATACAGTACTAGCTTTGAGGATAAAGTTGTGATTGTAGTCAGCCCTGTTTTTAGACTAAAATATATTTAACAATAATAAATACTTAAACATATTGAACAAAATATAACAGAGAGTTGTCTGTACATAGATATATTCATGAATAAACATTATTAAGAGTCTTTATTAAAGTAATAGAACCCAAAACAATGTTTGTAAGTTTATTTATCTGTTATTATTTTTATATCAGTTTCTCTACGCGCTAATCTCAGAAAATGCTTAGCCAATTTGGGTGTGGTTTTTACCAATGTTCTTAGCTTATTTTTTTTATAATTTATTAAATTTCAATTGATTATTTATTAATTTATAATAGACAAACAATATGAATACGAAGTAACAAGATCAGGTAATATTAAAATATGTAGAATACAATCCATCATGGAATAGTGACATCATGACAAGTCATACAAATATATGCAACCATTTAACTTCCGTACTGACACCAAGGTCTAATGGGTTAAAACCTGCTTTAGGTTATTATCATAATGAGATTGACATCATATAACGTGTCGATAATACTGTAAATCTCATAATGTGATATATGGTTTAAACCCTACCTATGCCTGGTATAAATGGAATTTTATTTTGTAATTTACGTATAGATAAGTAAATTTTTAATCTTCTCTTATTTACCTCACCAAAGAAGTATCTAATTATGAATAGAAATAGTGACCAATGTCAATTGTTGCAATTTTTTTAGTAATATAATTAGAATAGTAAACGGTAAGCTGGGGGAGGTTACCGTTTACCATTCCGTCACTTATACAGCATTACATGTACGTATATACGTATATATAACTTCATTGTCGTTCCTGTAATATTACAGGAACGGAAATGTCTAATCTGCCATTCCACAAAGATATCATGTCTCTTATTCTGCAGTTCCACTGTCTAATCTGTACCTTACAACCGAAAAAATCTTACGAAGCAAGCTGCTTGGCGGGTGAAACAGATGAAACTGAGGTACCTACTTACTCATGCAGACGAATTTTTACAGTATAATTTATATAGTAGTAGAGTTATCCCACGAGTTAATGTGTATTGTGATAGATATATATGTACATACATAGTTACTCATTCATATCTAACTAGTACCGGCTCGTAGTACCAGTACATGACCGTCAGACTATTTTCCATTATTAATAAACAAAAAATATAGTTTCTTGTCTTCATCAGTTACATTTATTCAGTGGTACCAGAAGTAGACTTTGACCAAAGTCGTGTGTGCGAGCAATTATTCCTCACCTAATTCAGGCAGTGGTAAAGCAGATTCTTTCTTGTTTTTCAGTTAAGGGGTGATGCTTAGTTATCAAATAAGTGCACTTAAATTCAGATTTACAAATAATATAATATATAGATACATAATCTACGAAATACAACACATGTTTTATTTTCTCAATACATACATACAAGTCTAATACTTATGTGATATTCTATAGGTACTTTGATTCTCTTTTACTTCTCTAGTCTTTAGTAATTTTTTGCAATTATAAAAATAATATACTTACTAATAGTCCGAAAACATATTAATTCTTCATGCACAATAACTGTTGAATCATATAGGTAATACAATGTTATCAACATGTAGCTACGACTTATAATGCACTAATTCAATGTCCTTGATCGACCTATGAAGTACATAAAAACAATCAATGCTATATATATTCCATGAAAACGATTTTGAAACACGTATGTAAATTAATTTTAAATTCCAACTTGAAATTAGTCCGCCATCTTAACCGGGCGTGCGTACGCGCCTGCGCGCCGCGAGCACCGCGAAATTACAGGCGGTACACGCTGGCCGCTTGCGCGTTTAAAAATAAAATAAAGTTAAAACAACGTCATTTTGTGCACGTGTGTGTGAGGGCAAGTATTTATTTATAGGCTAGTAGCTATGTAAATATAACGAACGGCAAGTCCGGTTCAGTATTTCTTGTGGTTTGCGAAATGTCTTAATTCACCTGGCCTGCAAACAATACCCCAAGCAGCCTACCATTTTATTCATGTAGGTCCGAATGGCTAGGTAAGTAAGTTGAAATTAAATTCTTTTTATGACTTCAGAGTTTATAATTATACGCCATTAAGTGTTTATTAATCACCAGATATCTCTATAGGTACTTAGGTATATTTCTTTCTTTTTCAAGATCGATTTATAATTGAAAAAAAAAATCTAGAACCCGTTTAGCTTAGTGGATAAATGTAAGAAAATTACTTTACATTGGCTAAACTATAAAATTAAAGTCCTTACTAATATGTGAAAATATGTTAGTACCTACTAATCAGGTTGTAAAATAAATATTAGTAGGTTCAATATCTACAGTATTCAGTGCAGGCATGACGTAACATATTCTTCTAGAACTTAAAATCAGTTAGGTATGAATTTAAATGCTTCCACTATGTAGCCAGACATCTATTTAAGGTTAGCTCATATCTACCTAATTAATTAGCAAAGTCACAAAATGGAAATCGGCCATTCCACCCTGCCTACACCGTCATTATATGCATACAAATTAACACTAATCAGATTAATTTACATTTGGCATAGCAACGTAAGTATAATTTTATTATAATCGATAAAGTTCACCGGTTGGGTGCTACGGGGAAGGATCAGCAATACGTGTTGCTAAAGCATTTAATTTATATAGGTACTTACATAATATCCTATGCTGCCATATATTGATATTGCAAAATTAATAAGTAGGTATAGTTATAGATTATGTTATCTGTGGTTATAGTAAGAAAATAAACAATACACAAGAGTATCAATATAAAGAACTAAATGGTAGTACTAATGGTAGAACTAAATATGTTGTATAGGTACAAAGTATTTTAGGTGGGTAAATCTGTCTAATTTATTCGTGGTGGAAATATTACTACGTCATATAGTTAGTGTTATATTAGGTATATTGATGGCCGTTACCTGATGGAAGATACTACCTTCTATCATGTGTTTCATTTGATTAATTATCATTTTACTATTATAAATATAAGACCATAATGAGTCAGTACCTATATGAACTTACAATTGAGTATGTCAGCGTTTACTAAATTCATTGGGTTCATTGGGTATCCTTCGTAGAAGAAAAGTATCATTTGCTAATGGACACTTTACTATAGGTCGATATCTATACCTACTCAGTAATTGAAATTTCTTACCTATGTCTTTAGGTATAACCATTGTTAAACTTTGTTTATTTATTAATTTTTATAATTTAAATACATATACCTAGTACATAAATAGTCAAAGTAACTTTATTTTTGCCTCTATCTTTACATAAATAAGTTCGGAGAATGGCAATATAGTATTTCTTATAAGTAGGAATGTAGGAATGTAGGTAAATTGAAAATTGTTAAAGAATATTACAATTGAAAAATAATTTAGATCTATTGCTTATATATGTACACATATCTATGTGTATTCGAAGAAGTTATATTTTTTTGTTGGGAATACATACTTATAACCTTCGTGCGAATATAAAATAAGGGTCTATTTACTTATAGGTAGGTTGATAAGTATTATTCTGCCCACAGTACCACCAATAAAGCAATATTTATTACCATACTTAACGAAGGTCGATAACCTGCACGGGTTCTTTGATGTCAATTACATGATGTATCAACAAAATGCAAGAGCATAGAATAAGTAGGTAGTCTAATACCTTGTACATTAATGTAATGTTTTGTCTAGTAGAACCTAATTGTATTTACATATTTTATTAACACTGTGTACTTTGATACACTGGGGTAGATTGATTACCAAAATTATTAATTGGTAAACAGCAGTAAAATTTGACTAATTCCGTTTTGAATCTATACGGATGAAATATATAGAGACTATTTTACAAAACATCGAGATACCGTAGGCACTCGTTATAATTACTTACAATGGGTCATGATAGGTAGAGAAGTAAATAGGTTGCTAACATATATAAGCAGTGAGTAATTTCACCTAAATAAGTAGGCATTTAAGGCTTAGAGTAGACGTGCGTAGTGCGGCGCTTGGGATTAAGTCGAGCAAGATATTGCAAGACGATATTTCAGAACGCGCGAGTGGCAGGTCGTCGACCTCGCCGCCCCAGCCGCCGCTACATCTTGCGTATAGGGCTACCAGTTTAGTCGTATGAAAGGAATATTCTGGGTTAAAAGTATACATATACACATGCCGGTCAAATTAATATATATAATTACATACATATTAATTTGACCTGCATACCACATAATACACACAAAGAGAGAAATATCTACCTACCTCTTATACATCTAATTCAGTATAATGAAACCACCAAGTTTCTATAATATGTAAAATCATATCATATCATATCCCATACGGTTATACCGTTTATAGAGCAAAAGACTTTATTCAAAAGGGACAAATAAGGACAAAAGGGGCGAAATTGGAATAAGAAAAACACGCAACGTAAGTAGCTGGTAGATAGACCCAGTCAGATAGATCTTGAGCCACGTTCATCAGCACTCCCCGTCTTCAGCATTTATACATCTGGGCGGAACACAACCATAGGTAGTTTGGACTTATTGTCGTGTATTTACACAATTCGGGAAATAACTGCACTTACAGTTATTTCGTAATAATACATAACTATATTCCGGCGGTAATATAAGAAAATATATAGGACACACTCAGTGGTAGCATAGAGCGGCAACGGAATAGAGCGATTGTTCGTACTATGAGGGTAAGTAGATGGAAGTCAATATCGTACTTAAGTAAGAGCTATATAAAGTATTTACAAATTAATTATATCTAAAGACATTGGCGTAAGCACAATAAATACTGCTTAATATTTTTTTAATTAATTGAAAATATGTTACTAGCTTGTAACAGATCTCTTACTATTATATTGCAAAATTTAATATCAGAATAAATAGAACCATAAAATAATAGAAGGATTCGTCAACCTAATAACATTTTTCTATACGTGTATTCGTAACTCGTGCTAAACGGATAAATTGATTTGGACAAAATTTTGTATTGGCCTATACCAATTGGCTCGTTGATGACCTAAAAACACAACTGGACTAAGTCGCAAGGTAGGTTACAATATGTTCACTATGAAACTATGTTCTAGGCTTACATTATATTCTATATCTATATATACAAGAATACCTACACATGCTGTACAGCACACGCAATATAAGTTTGATGAATGAAATTACTACGAGATTACCTTCAGATGAATATTAATTGATTTACCTATGTATTATAGGCATAGGTACATACCTACCTAAATATATACCTATTTAAAAAATAACGACAAATTGTTACTTTGTAACGTATTTTAATCACTTAACAATCGAAATAATTAAATATGATTCTTTTTTCCTTTTCTTATTTAGAATTAGAACTAACTTACATTTTCTCTAAATATCTCTCATAAACAGAGAGAAAAAATACTTTAAATTATTGTGTCGAGTTAACCACTTATGAATAAAAATATAATCTCAAATCAATAAATTTTCTTAAACTGATATCAAAAGCCATTATCTTTCTAAATTATCGCAGGTAGATAGGTAGGTATCGACCCTTATTAACAATAGTAGGATTGATAGAATTTATTGGTAAACAGAAAAATAAAATAAAAAACGTCTTCGTTATCCCTTATTTGATTTTAAGTTACGATTATGTTGCAGTTCACCAATACAATATTAAGTTTGTATAGATTTAAAAAATGTTGGTTTCAAAGATGTTTTTATTTAATTGATTTGTAGTAGGTACCTATTTACTGATTAGAATCTAAAGTTATGGATGCGTTTTGTAACACGTAGTCCAATTTATTACGTATATTTTAAAGGTGTGCACAAATAACTTTACTAGTTCCCCAATTACTTAGATATATTTATTTAGAAATTTTAGAGATAGTTTCGTTTTGCTGAATTTTTGATGATTGTATAATGACATATGTAGGTACCTACTATGAATTGTGTTCAGTATTATGAAAAGTATTTTAATAATGTGTCGACCTTGAATAATTAATTGACCTATCTACTATAATTAAAGTCCTTAGTAGTTTTGATTATTGTATAATAATTAATTATTTCAGCAGTGGGATAAATACTAGAAACTTGCCAATAAAGTAGAGGTCGATAACACCGAGCCCAAAACTAAATGTAATGTAATTTAATCAAAAATATTAATTAACGTAAAATACCACTTCTACTATTTTACTTAATTCAGATATTAGATATATTATAGGTACCTACCTACATTGTCATAACAGACTGATTGAATATAAAATTGTGCGGAACCTCAACGGATTTGAATCTAACACATATTTTTTTCAAAACGATGTTATCTTCTATTTTGTAGCAATCATCCCTATCATCCCCTAGACCATTGGAGTAGCATCCCCGGTCCCCGATCCCCGCCCTACAAGACAATAAATATGTCAGAAGATATTACAGCGTGAGTCGGGCCCCGTCTTAAGTAAATTATTACTCTAGAACTTTTGCTGATGAGCTCGACGCCGTACTTTTCGCGTTTTATTGCCGGAGGCTTAATCCAGGGTTCACTCTCATATTGTTGATAGCGGTAAAATAAATCATATTTTAATATATTTATATGTTAGCTTTCTTTTTTTTTTGCGTATACCTAATTGAAATAGTAAATAAACTGACGGCCCACTGGCTGCCCGCCTGCCCACGGATGATAAACAGTAACCATCGCCTATATATCTGCACGATCAGTACTATCAACTGCTAAGTATCACCCATGATACCCTTAAGCATTGTCATTCCAGTGGACTAAGAT